CTTCTGAGAACTGCTAAGGACCAGATGATTTTTATTATGTCCTGATATGTAAAACCATAGAACTCAAAGGGGGTGCACTTTCTTTTTCTCACGACTGTACAAACACATACCCTAGATGCTGTTGCACATAAGGGAAGTTGCAAAGTGGTGTGACTTCATTGGGCTGTCATATGTTCTGAAGCCCATGTTTGCCTTTGAATCTTTATGAATCTAATGATGTTAAATGTATTAAATGGGATTAAATTAGACAGAACTCAAGTAAAGAAATAGATACATTTCAAACTGGTGTACAGCCTTCTTCCTAATAACATTTCTTCTTACTATTATTTAGTGGATATTTCCACTATGGATTTATTGACATACATATTTGGGATTGTTATAGAGGATGGTAGACATGTTGTCACTTTCAGGATATTCAATTATGTCATGATACATATTTTAGCATTCATTCATAGTAACACTTCTAAGTTGCTCCATTCTCCCAGACTTCAAGTGGTGTACAGACATCAAGCAAAAATTGAAAGCAACCCAGAGTTCAAACTAGGTAGACTAAAAAAAAAAAAAAAGACTGTAAGAGCCCCTTTTCCAGGGACAAGTCAGTTTTAAAATCCCCTGAATACTCCATGTTTTAGCGGCCCTGAAGAAACTCAGCAGGGAGGTGGCAATTCAGATGTTCAAGGGAACAAGGATTTTTTATTTTTAATATTATTATTTTTTTTTTGGTCTCTTTTTTCTCTGTGCAACAAGATCTGTATTCCTGGAAACTCTCTCCTGCCAAGCTTAAACATTAAAGAAATCTGCAGAAAACTGTAATGACTAAGCTATTAAAAAAAAAAATCCCCATATACAGCTTTGTTTTATAAAATACCAGCTTTCATGTTTCACACTGAATCGATTCACAGCTACGCAAAAGTGAAAAGGAAGCGAGTTTACATGTGATGATGCAAAACAGTTACTCGCCTGTAAAATTTACTGGATAAAAAAATAAATTTACTGGATAAACTACTGGGAAACAGCAATCTTCCCCTTTCCCCAAAATTGGGGAGTGGGGCAGACAATAACCTACAGTAGTTGCAATTTAAACTTCTGTTGAGGTCTTAAACTGCACACAAGGCTTTCCCTGAAAGAAGATTTGCCTTACTCATTACTTCTGAGAGAAATATTTGTCTGTGGATCATTTTCTAACCCTGGGAAGAATGGGCTAGGTTTTGTGCATCTCCACAGATCGTGGATCAGGGTAACAATTCCTACAAGTTTAAAAAAAAAAAAAAAAGATTCTGTATATGGTTGTATTTAAAAAAAAAAAATCATTTACTTTACTTTTAAAAAAGAAAAGTAATGCAGAGTTAATTTCTTGACCTAACAATAAAAGCAGACTCCAAAGACACAATTTGTTTCTACATCTGATAGAGCAAGGGTGTCTGGAGAGGGGTCAAAAAATCAAGCTGGTGGTTGTGACTGTGTGATCGTAACCCTACCCATTTTTATGAGCACAATAAAAAGTGGGTGGGGCTTCAACCACACAGTCACAACTACCATCTTGACTTTTTTTAAAACACATCCCCAAACACATCCTTGTGATGGAGGCATAGATAATCTATTCCAAAAAATGTTTGATGTAGCACTAAGCTACAGGTAGCTGTGCTTTTTTAGTGATATATGGTCACCCTGTGCAGTATAAGGCGATGGGATGAACCCAGGATGAAAGCTGTTGAGTTATCTTCTTCCATTTTCAGTTATCGTGGCTTTCTCAAGGAGAAAGGAGAAAAAAGCATTTTCATCTTTTCTGTGTTTGTCATTCTCTAACATTTTAGACCACTTGAATCAATAACTGCAATTAAACAGACATTTTTGTACAGTCTTCTTTTATTAAAAATAGCTTTGCTTTGTTTTTGATCTTCAGAAGTATTGGCATGAGAAGATTCCTCCAGGGAAAAAATGGCATTGTATGGATAATTTCCCCGTAGCAGTTGGAATTCTCAGGACTCTTTTATATTGTGGAATTTATGGTAATGGAATTGCTCAGCAAGGTATTCCGGATGCACATCAGTTACAAATAAATTTAACATTTGTTGATAGAATGCAGACAGATGGAATGACCCTTGGATGCTTATAGGCAAGCCAACTTTAACAAGACCCTTTTTTATTTCATGCGTCCATACACCATATAATCCACCCAACTGATGTGGCAAGCAGTCACTGCCATTTCTGCAATTATTATTTACATTACAAATATGTACAATAATTTAAAATTTTACTTCTTTTCCTTCATTGCACAACTCCCAGGAATCTTCCCTGACTGTACCAGTTACCGATCAAAACAATCAAACAGATTGGGACTACATAGCACAGTATTAGCAGCATTACATTGTAATACACAAATACACATAAATCCTATTGACTCATTTATCGTCGGATCCCTGCGGAAAAGGGTCACAAATGAGATTTTTTAAATCCCAGAATGGTCAAAATGGACACTGATGATGAAGGCAGAAATCATATCATTTAGTGTTAGCTTTTGTAAATCTGTATTTTAAGCAAAATATTTCATTGGAAGTAGAAAACTTGCATAATGGACAGGATATGGAACAGTAATGTTTTTCCCCAATAGGCTTATTTTCTACTCACAGTGAGGTTTTATTTACACATATTCCACCAGGATTCTTTACAGTCTCTTGATTCTATTATGCTTTGCTGCATGCGTATACTTAGATATACCATTGCGTCTTCGATGGTATACAGTAACTGGAATTCTCTTAGTTGAACGCGCCATCTCTATGGAAGGTTTGCAACCTACAGCAGGGATCCAAAGCACTCTACATGCATAAAAGTGCTAAGTCCATTCTTTCTAGATTTACCTTGCTGCCTTGAACTGCTAAGTCTGCTTGGAAAACCTGAGCGCTTTTCAAGTTCCGTGGTTTGAGGCTGCTCCACTTAACTCTGCAAATATGGCTGCTGATGGCTCATTGCTCTTTCTTGCCATAAACGCCAGTGTATGCACAGCCACCCTATTGGCTGTACAAAGGGATAAGCCTGTAGCAACACTGACTGAACTAGAATTCCATTCCTGAAAGAGGCTATGAGAAATCTTAAAAAAACAGAGGTATATCCTATCTGTTCCTCCAGGAGAGCAGTCACCATAGCCGGATTTAACATCTTGCCTTCTAGAATGTTGGAGGAAAGGTGTGACAGTGTCCCATACTTGGCACATTTTTGTCCCTGTTTGGATGAAGCCATCAACACAGTTGTCTGTGGGCTCCTGCACTGGCTTTTACACTAGCTGGCTGTTGGAGCTAATAACCTCCCCCATACTTACTCACTAAGCAAATGGACCAGCCTGAAGAAGAGGAAGTATATATTTTTATTAGCAGATTTGTTCACTGTTTATCAATCATAATCAGCATTAGGAAATACTGGGCTAGAAACTAGCCTCTTCCTTTTCATTCATTCATTCATTCATTCATTCATTCATTCATTCATTCATTCATTCATTCATTTTCATTCATTCAACTTCTTTCCTTATTGGATCCCTGTACTTGAATTTCTATCTTTGGTCTATGACAGTAAATAAACGAACTGGTCTGGTGACTGAAGAGCTTTAGGACCACCAATAGAATTGCCAGCCTAAAGCCTTTTGCTAACGTCCCACTTGGATGACAAATATAGGTGAGATAAATGCCTATTGGAAATGACTATGCTTCATCTTTTATTCTCATGTTATCTTCAGAATGTGCACAACAGCCAGAAGGAATAGATGCATTATCCTTATTGAACTGTGTTCACATCCTACTTCTATACTTTTAGTTGAGGTTCACTAATGTCCAATTGAGAAGTAATGGATTTTCACTCTCCCACCTACGTAGAAAATGTTGGCCAACATTATTTTGGGGAATAAATCTTGGTAATGAGAGGGGCAGATGTCAGTATAAAATTATTAAGGTTCTCAGATTGGTAAGGGGGCACCCAATCTCTTTTAGTTCAACATTTACATATAAATACACTGAAAGTCTGTACACTGTACATTAATTACATAATCCATTTCTTTGATGTGCATATCTGAATTGTTTCTAAGTCTCATTGTGGAGAGCTTTGGTCCTCTGCAAGACAGTGTGGAGCTCGTGAATAACATTTGCTGGCAGCTGCTTATCGGATTCCAAATGAGTCTCTCTCAATTTGCTCTCACTTTTCTTTGATGACTTTGATTCTTTCGAGAGCCTTTGGCCCAAGTCCACAGCGTTTTCACCCATGTCCTCCAAACAGATCAGGCTGTGATGCTTCCTTGCGTGATTCCAGATTTTTTCCTCCTTACGTTCCTTGTATTGAACAACCCGTGATACTCGTTCCTTTAAACTTTTCTTATCTTCAGATAAGTCACTTTCAGTTTCCAATTTTGAATTCTGTAGAGAGATGGGTAAAGAGTTAAATATGCACTCATTCATGTCAGGTATCTGTAGCCCACCTTTGGGAGGTTAGGTCCTTCCAGACTGGTTTCCAACCGTTTCAATTCTTACAAATGAAAATAATAAAATAATGAAACAGTAAGCATTTTCAGAATTCAGACAGTATTGGCTAAAATTAAGCCATAACTTCAGCTAAAATCTAGAATGGTCCAGTACAACACACTAAGGATAAAACTATAAAGACATGCAAAGGTTTTGCTCTGGAGTTTCAGGAACATTTGGGGAACAGAACTATTCAGAAGTGCTTCAGGGAGGGGGTTGACATCTGGCTTTTCAACACTTATTTATATTAATTTTAATTATACTGTTAACACTGACTTTCTTGCTTGATTTATTATTTGGATTTATTGAATCGGTGGTAGGAGTGCCGATTTTCAATGTGCATTGCCATGAATCCTTGGGAACTGTGATGATATTAAGATAAATAACTAAATAACAAGAACAAATCTTAGGGCTTTCCTAAAGTGGACAGTGACCACAGGGTTAATAAGTAATAGATAACTGAAGCACTACTGACCCCCATCCAGTAGGGTCCTATAACTGAAGCACTACTGACCCCCATCCAGTAGGGTTTACACAAGCATAGCTTTCTGTCCATTTATTTTTATGTTGGGTGGAGTTCTAGTACACCCCATTCTTTACTGCTGTCAGAACCTGCATCACCCAACTGTTGTTGTTTTCCATTGTATTGCATTCGTTGGGTGTTGGATTGATTTGTTTCTGCCACTTGT